GCAGAATGTAGTTTGCCAAATAAAAGGCAGACATGCAAAAGCAATTATTCCTAAGAGGGTATGAGATGCTGAATTTACTAAAAAATTAAGCTAAAAAATAGCTACCAAGTTGAGAAACAGAGTCACCCCTCACATGCTAGATCTAATTAATCTGAAACTAGTTTCCCTGAAACTTCACTTTGTACCTTGGCCAGCTGAAGTAATGTTTAGAAGGTCTCTTAGTGTTTCTTTCACATGTGCCCTCTCTTCACAGATAATGGCAGAAGGAGAAAAGGAGGTAGGAAACTCTGAAGGAGGCAAGGGTGGGAGAAGTCTTGTGTTTTAATTAAGGAGAAAGCCCATGAGACTGGAGATAGTGAGACTGGAGGAACAGACTTCCTTCTCTGTGCCCTTAGTTACTTGTGTAACTAAGGCAGCCAGAAATGTTTAAAAACCAGCAAAGGAAAATGCTTTGAGTAATTGCTGTGAAAACAAAGTGAAGTTTCTCTTTGGCCTTCTGATTTTGGTCATTTGAAGAGAACAAGAGCTCTCCAAAGGTCTGTTGCCCTAGGGAGCAGTGACATTATCTCAGTGAAATATTTTGTTTGCAGGGTTTCCTGGCATAGCAGTTATTTGAATTAAATTTAGTGGGGAGGGAGGAAGAAGAGAGTGAGGGAAGAGTATGTGTGGTACTTGTATTTTGCCTTCTATTATAAGTGCTTGAAGAAGATATAAATTAATTGTGTAGTCTGGATATTTATTTTTTGATTGCTCTCTCATTGCTGTCTCGTTGCTGAGGATTTATATATCTCACAGGCAGCAGCTGCTCAGTGCTACAGGCACAGCAGAAAGAATAAATGCTTTTGGTCTCACTGTCGCAATTTAGGTTCACCTGCGTTTGCTCTGGTGTAAAAGCAAATCCCTTCTGCTCTTGGGGGCCCCTGTAGCAACAGGAATTGAATGTGCCAGGATGCAAGGCTTACAAGGCTTATCATATGTTAATTCTTAAGAGCACCTCCTTATTCTGCATGCCCAGCAAAGACATGCCAGGTGGGTAACATCACTGCTTGGTATGTTGTTAAAAACAGGTTTGCTATTTCTGCAGAACTTGAAAAGGCTTAAAGGGTGGCTTGGACTCAAAATTAAGGTCAACAGCATTTCAACTCCTGCTTGTAGATGAGGTATTACAAAATCATCCTAATAATCTCATGGTTCAAAGGGGTGATTTAACTGTCTAGTGAAAACAACATGTTTAATTAACAACAGTCTGTTGTTAAATGAGAATATGAGCATTATCTACAGACCTGTCATGTGCACTCTTCCAGTACATTTTCCACACTAACATGATTTCACATCAACACTGGGGATTCTCTATTTCCAGCATCACTAACGCAATTCACACAGCTCTTGCCAAAATATACTAAAGACTCACTCATAACTGTTGATGCTAAGCCACAATTTTCACTTTCACTATCACACACCAGTTACTAAAATACACTTTGAAGCTTTATGACCATTTCTGCTCCCCATCCCCACATGTATCAAAGGCAAGTTGTCTGAAAGGAAGAGAGATAAAGGGTTTTGATTATAGATTAACTTCGTCAAAGATACAGAAGATTTTAGTAATTAAACATTTTCTGCTAAAAGATTCCTGAAATATTACTACTTTAACTGTGAGAATTAAGGGGGTCATATTCCTGATTTTTTTTTTTTTAAAGTTATGCAAGATTAATATGATTTCATGGTACAGAATAAAACACTATTAGTTGTATGTGACTAGATCTCCCAAAAGGCTACATTTCCAAGTCCAAAGGAAATACTTTTTTAAAAACACAGCTAGATCTGTATCTGTCAGAAAGAGTTCCAGTATCCTGTCTTGGAGTAGGTGACATGGATTTAAAAGATGGCATCTGCTCAAGGCCCATCCTGACATGTTCTTAGCAGAATTTTTTTCATCTTTTACACAACTTAATAATTTTCTTAGGAAATTTCAAAAGCATCAGGTTTTTTGAAGAAAACAATGTATTTTTAAATATACTGTTTTACTTCATGGATTTGGTTTTCTTAACTTTTTCTTGTCAAGCTCTATTATAGATATAGAAAACAGACAAACTAAAACAAATACTGGCAGATCCTATAAGAATGCAACCATGTTTAAGACTCCAACAGCAAAGCTCAGTTTGAGAAGTACAGTATTTAAATGAGGGCACTGAGCAGAGTATGTCCCACTTTGAAGATGCTGTACCTAAGGCACGGCAAGTAAGGCAGACAATGATACAAGTACAGACATATGTATGAAGAACTCTCAGATCTGGAATAGGGAAGAGGGTAAAAAAAAAAAGACAGGTGAAAAAAAAAGGGGGGGGAAGAGGGAGGAAGGGGGAACCAAGAAGAAAAAATATCCAAAGTGTTATCTGTATGCTAGGAATGTACGCAAAACCGATTCATTTCAGCTATAAGACAGAAGAATTAGGATACATATTCCAGAAAGATACAGTAACATCCTGAAACAACTTAAATGATCAGATTAGTTAGATTCTTAAAAGCTAAGTATATCTCTAAAAAGTCTGCTGGCTTGATTTGAAATAAAAAACCATCATCTAAAGATTTTTGCTTTTCATGTCTGTTAAGGCACCTGGAATGCTGTTGTCTGTCAAAAGCAGGTTACTGTTAATTTATCACACTGTAGTCTAGGGCATTAAAATTCACCAAAATGATCCATTGAAAAGAAGATAATTTGCAAACTGTGAAAACTTACCTAGATTACTGAAATGTTAAGCTAACATGAATAGTACTGTTAGTTGGAATAGATGAATAGTATTGTTAGCTGGAATTTGGAAACCATTTTACATTACAAGATTTTCCTTATTTAAATTGACTGAAGAGGTACTCCCAACATTATTAGCTCTTCTAGTTTTTCCATGACTAAAAGAAAACCACCACTATCATTTTCAAAAAAAGAAGACAAATTTAAAAAGTGAAGTCTTGTAGCAGAAGTAATATTAAATCATGTTTCTTACTTTTAATGACTGCTGCAGCAATTCAGAGCTGGCAACAGTGCTGAATCTGGAGGGATTAAATCCTCCTGATCAGCATAGTACATGTATATTGAAGCAATTACTTCTTCTTTCATTTTTATCTTGTATTGCATTCATGTTATGACCCAGGTCAATTTTTAATTGTCAGACCACTTGAAAATGCACCAAGTAATGGTGTTCTGACTGGTGACCTTGATTATAACTGCAGTGTTGTAGGTTTTCTGTCATTTTTTTCTTGTGCTCGGTAGGAAGGAACAAGAGCCAATCACATGCTCCCTTGTCAAACCAAACCTCAGGCAGGCAAAAGATAAAAGCACAAGTATTAGGTTTCTGGGATCAAATCACCCTTTGATCCTAAAGGCTTTCCGCCTGGAGATCCTTAGTATTATGGGATACTTTGTTACCACAGTAACTAAACCAAGTAAATGGTGGTTGTTATTATTATTAATGCCACTCAAAATGCTTATGTGTTAAGTGGGGACTGAACTAGAGCAGTGTCTTCAATGCACTGAGCTCTTTTAGAAAGCTCTGCTATGAAAAAGAAATTATATTAGGGGATTTAGCATACATGGTACTTCTGCCACAATTTCAGTGGCTACTCATTGCTTCCCAGTAATGGTGGTCAGCTGAACTGAGAAACTGAACCAGCTTTAAACGACTGAAAAAAAAAAATAAAAAGAAAGAAAAAAAAAAGGGTTAGTCAGTAGGCAGAATGCAAACCAGTTTCCCTCCTAGCTGCCCACAGGATGACAGGATCATGGTGTGACGGCTGGTGTAAGCTGGATATGTGACTTCGGCATTTAAATTCTACCAGAGTAGGATGACTGTTCTCTAGTCGGTGTTAGAGGTTTGTTTTCTTTTTAGTTCACTTTTCCCAGAAGAAATTCTTCCTTATCTTAAGGCAAATGTATCCTAAACAGCTATGCTCTCTTACTTTGCCTTCTGTACAGAAGATACAGTGAGCAGGCACAGGATCTCCCTTCACTCCATCTAAACAGTAATACTGGAAGCATCTAATCTTTGCTACCTATAGTACTAGTACTATTAAAAACAGAAACACAAATGATTAAGTACACAGGGTATTACACAAATGATTAAGTACAAAGCAGGCTGAAAGAGGCAGGGTAAAAATGCTCTGACAAGTAGATTTCAAGCAACTGAGTCAGCAGTCCATCTGCTGCACAGAGTATTTTATTATTTACCATCACTTTTTCAGTCTTTTTGAACTAGCAGTTCTGGTACCATAGAAGATATTTTTGCAGATTGTTTTTATGTGCAAATTCTTAAAAACTGCTTTCTGCTAAAAATGACTTCTTCAAAATTCCCAGAACTGTATGTAGTGAAGTTTGTTGTAACTTGTGCAAAGGTGGTAAAGCACAACTGTCTACAAGAGCATTCTTGTAGAAAAGTCAGAGGGTGGGGAAGACAGGGTATTTCCCTCAACTGCCTTGCTCACAGGCTTTAATTACCTGTTAATGTGAAAGTTTCTGAAAACTCCCTGAACAGCTTTCAGGTGGTTCTGAAGGCAGAGACTGGCAGAAACAGGCTCCATTTCAGATTAAACTTCTTGCTTCACTAGCTGTTTGCATGATCAACAGCAAGCAGTCCCTTATGTTAATGTCTAAGTAGGAGAAACTTCAGAATAAACTGCCTTTGTAAGAAACACACGCTGCAGTTACAGCAACAGCTCACAAATAAAAAAGTCTGTTTTGCCATTTGCTAGTACTTGTAATGAAGTCCACTGCCATTTCAGGAAAGAGACAGCTGGCAGTATGCATGACAAAACTGAATTGATACAGAAGGAAATAATATTATCCCTCACAGTGTCCTCTTCTTTCAACCCCAAGCTTCTGTGCCACACTGTAGCAGCTAAACTAAGCAATGGCATAAGTGGAATTAAAATCAGATGAACAAGTTAAACCTAAACAAGCACAGACACATGAACAAATGACCATACGTAGGTAAGGTAGGGCTTATCTTCAGTCACGTATGGAAAACCATACCAAAAATATATTTGGCCTTCATCATTAGGAGTTATTTGTGGTATTTTTAGGGGGGGACTTCAATTGTAGGAAGAGACAATATCATTTAAAAAAATAATTTTATTTTTTTCATACTTAGTGTTAAAATAATCTGGAAATGCAAGTTGAGCTTGACAGAAAGCAGAAACCAGCAGTTCCATCAGTAATATTTAGCCACTACTGCAGTTCTTTGAGAAACTTCAGCAATTTTGGATACAAAAGCAAAACTCCCCATACAGTAAGAAATGTAAAATTACAAGTCTAAATCTCATCAGGCACAAAACTGAAGTTTCCCTGAGAAGAAGTAATTACAAACTAGTGTATAAACTTTATATCACAATATCAGGGTGCTTTAAGAATACAAAAGATTTGAATTCTTTAATACTCCATGCTGAAGACAAATTTTTCAGGAGGATTAAGAATTACATGTAACAGAACTGCAGCAAACAGATCAAAGTAAAATGGTAACAGCTGGCTTTGCATATCCCCTTTTGCATAGCTTTTAGATAATTTCTAATATTATATACCTGAGATCTTTTAGTATTCAGTATGAAGTGCAGTCCAGCTGCTTTGTACCCCACCCCGTCATCTTTCTCTTCCAGCTAGCATTACATTCATGGGAAAAAAAATTGAGATTAACCATGAACAACATGCATTTTCTATGCCTTAAAAGAGTTTAGCCAAAGGAAGTCCATTAATTATATCTTCTAGATAATAAATATTCCAAATAGATGACTTTCCAAAAACTGCTGTCTGATTTTGTACCTAAACTCCAAACTTTAGTGTGCCACAAGGCATACTCAAGACATGTTTTCTCCCCCTTGTCCATGGACAAAGCAGGGCATGAGCAGCACCACACCAACATGGTGAGAGTTATTATACTTATTATCAGCACCACCACGATTGCTGTAAAGTACGTCGCAGTAGAATATGTGTACCTATGTTTCCTACGAGGAGCAGACGTTTCAGTTCTTTTGCAGATACAGAGCTTTGTGCCGCAAATACTCTTCCAAGCATTTCACTGCAAAAGGGTCGACATCAGTGTCAAACTTATTAGCAAATAAGTGGTGGTTTCGTAACATCCAGTTCAAGTCTCCTACTCCAAAAACACAGACAGAGCGAATGTGAACTCCACTGCATGGTGGGTAGGGTGCACCTTTGGACACATCACCTTCAAAGTATTGCCATTTGACAAACCTGGCCAGGGCATTCATGTCAGAAACGTCGTACTTGTCACTGGAAGAAAAAGCGCCTGGGACTTCAGGGATTCTTTGAATTGTTGCCCACAGGTACTCATCTGGGCTGTAAGTATCTTTCGCCCACTCAATGAATTTAAGTATTTTGCTGTTTTCTAGTACATATTCTACAAAACTCCTGCTAACTACAAAATAGGCACTGCCAGAAAAAACTGGAGTACTGAGAGGTGGTAGTTGTTTGTCTATGCCGGTGTTCTTTATTTTACCATCAATAATCTCATGGTGTTTCTTCCACCTTACTTCTTTATAAACAGGCATTTTTTCTGTTTCCAAGCTGTTTTCACCCTTAAGAGCTTTTAATTTCTCTACTATTTCCTTGTTGGTCTTTATAGGAAAGTCCATACCACATAGGTTTATTAGGTATTTCCAGTTTGAACTTCTTCTGTGGAGATCTTTCATGCAATTAATGTCGGCCTGCACTCTGCTCCATGAAGCATATACCACACTCTCTAACTGGCTGGAAATAAAGACATTATCAAAACACGAGACTATTCCCTTCACAGCAGCAAAAAAGGATTCTGGAGACTTTTTGTCTACATGAATGCAGTAAAAATTCTGTGGAGCATAGATTGATCTTAGAAGTCTATCAAGCATCTCAATTTTGTGATAAACCACTATTGAGTAAGCAATTGGAAATTCTGCTTCCTCATTACTGAGAGGTTCCATAATGTATTTCCTAGTCTTGGTGAAGGAGGCACAGTCTGCAGTCATGTTAATATAATCATCTGTTGTTAGTCTGGGGCGTTTCTTAAATGACACTGATAATGCCTCAAGCTGTACCTTTTGTATTTCTTCTATATCACCCTCAATTATCTTGGTGCAGTTAACATTGCTAATAGGATCTTCTTTTGTTAGCTCCAGATGCCTCCGATTTAGGAAGTCTTCTTTCTGGTTAACTTTCAAAACTGAAATTACCACTAAAATGAGAGTTAGACCCAAGAAAAGCCTGAAGCGTGAGTTGTAGCAAAACCGTAATTTCCTCTTCAGCATTTCAAATACCAGGTAGCTTTCCAGGGCTAAAAAAAAATTTCCTCTTCTCTGTTCATATAAGCTTCAACAACTTCAGAAAAAACCCTTGTTTCTCAGGAATTTGGCAAGTTTTTCAGGGAAATAGAATGAAAAATCCTAAAACAAAATAGAATATGATAGTCATTCTTAGACTAAAAGGTTTCTTAAACATATTAGTGATTAATAACTACATTCTTATTTAGTGACAGTAAAAAGCTGAATAGTTCAGCCAAAGATATTCTATAGAAAATTTTAAATTAACAAATAATTTTTTGAATAGAAAAACACTGGGAGAAGCATACAGTGTTCATGAAATTTCCACATTACTAACACTACAAACTGAAGTTCAGTAAAAAAACAGAGCTGATTCAGCTGCCTCTAAAACAAAACTGAAGTCAGATAATCTACTGAGAAGCAAATATTTCTTGTTAATTCATGCTTTAGAGTTTGACAAAAATGTTTAATACCCACTTCGGGGTTGACATAGATTTCTTTATCATTATGACTTACCACTCACTTCCTGGATGGCAGCCATGCTTTAGTTCTCGCTGGCAAAGAAGTCCCTGCAGCCTTTCAAGATCTTTATGTAAGACAGTCTCTTCAACATCCTTCATATGAGCTTATAAATACCACCAGGGAAGAGCTGATGAGAAGGGCGAGGAAAAAAAGTTATTATGGCAGGGCACCTCAGTTTTGAGTTGTGAGAAAAACTGTTACTGAATTGCTGAGAGAGGTTTTTAAGGTAAGAGGCAATACTTGCGACTTGTATCTCAAGCTGATTTGTATCAAGTTACTGCAAGTGCACTAATCTGAATGCACAGCAGTGTTGCATTACCATCATTTAAACACAATTGTTTTTAATATTCAGCAATTACTTTTATGTGGAGGTATGCTACAATGCTGGATTGCAACATGATTTCTAGCCAATTTTATTTTCTACTTTACTGCACAAGCCCTAGATGATTTTTGTTTGTTAGTTCTGTTACTCATTAAGCACCTTTTTTTCTGTTTCAATACTCTGTGAACAGAATCACTGCAGTTGTGCAGCAGATACAGCTTTGGCTGCTGAGAAAACTGCACTCAAGAACTGTATCGCAGAACTGTGTGTCTTTTTAAATTTTTTTTAGAAGTACTATGTCATGCAGGTAAATTGGTCAAGAACAGGATATCCTCAAATAACTTACACTGCTGCACAGATGAGTGAATCACAAATTCACTGCCTAATAATTTAGTGCAGGTTTGAATTTCAAACCAGGCTCTAATTGCAAAAGCCCACACACTTTACAGAGAATGTCCTCCAAAAAGTGATTCTGTAATTTTATGAAACATAAAGTATTTGAGAGATACAAGGCTTCTTACATTTTTACTACTTTCAAGAAAAAAGATAGTGCCTCATAAAAACGTTTTGAATAGCTGTAAAAATAACAGCTACTCAGAAAAACTGATAAGAAACTTTGTTTAACAAAAATAAGTGAGTATTGTGTCCACTGCTCTTTTGCCATAGGTTGTTCAGCATAAGAATTTCCTTTTCCTCCCTCTTTTCTTTAACCTGCTCCAGTATAATTATAAGTTTTAATTCCTAAACTGTGGCTCTTAAGCTGCTACTTGCAGATCTCAGAACAGCTGCATTTAAGAAATTGAGGCATGGCACCCAGAGTTTTCCTTAGTAGTGCTGTCCGTGATGCACTGCATTCTGGGTCCACCACTTTGCCCATGGCACTGCAAACTGACTGGGGGAAGCAGCAGGTGGGAGGAAGGTGTGGAATACTGCACAAGTGTCTAGCACAGCCATGAGAAGTATTATAGTCAAATATATTTGACTATAGAAGTACTACAGTCAAATATTTTGTATTTCAAGCCAAGAGCAGGCAGACATAGACATAACTAGACATAAATTTGTCACTTAAGAGCATCATATAAACATTTTATTTACACTGAAGTGTACTTGTTTTCAGAATTACAATTGTAAGTATTTTATCCTGCATTTCTAATTTATTTTAAGGAAGGCAGACATTTGTTCACACTGTATTTTTCATCTACAGTGAAGTCAAACTGGAAGAAAACTTAAAACTTAAGGAAAGTAGCCCAGTGAGCTAGCATGAAATTACAGTGGAAAGCACACAGAGGCAAATTTTTACAACGAGGTCTTACACTTTGAATTTTAAAAAAATTTAAAAGGAGAATTCTAGAATTCTATCTTTCAATTTGCAATGTGACATTGAACCAAACAACATAATTTAGAACATGTTTTAACACACTTTGTAACTTATCACACTTTTGTACTTGATGTCCTGCTTGTTTTCACTAGTAAATCTAATCCTCCAAAAATAATATTCATTGCATATTACATTAACAGAGGAAGGAGAGTATTTATATGATAGTGTCCATTGGGTATATAGTTTCATAGGATGAAGCCTGTGATACTGCTTAACCTTCAATTACTGTATTCTGCCTACAAACTTAAAAATTAAGACATTTCTAGAACTTAGTGTACTTCAAATACAGTTATATTTGTGATACTTTAGCTGACAGACATTGGAATCCTTTCTTTAGGCTGTTGGCATTATTATTTTATCCTATTCTTAGTTTTTATAGGAGCACCAGCATTGAGAAATCACACACTCAAGAAGATTACCAACCTGTCACTGTTCAAATGGAGGGAGAAAGTCTTAATTGGAAGTGACTATGGCAGTCTTCACCTTCTAAAATTTTCAAGAATAAAGCTTGCTAAGAAGTCTTTCCTGCTCCCATTTTAGAATAAAACTTAGTTGAGTGTAAGATAAAGAATTCCATTCAGAAAGACCTTGTATACCCAGCTGGGTGCAATTCCTCTATTGTTCAGAGCTCAGAATAATCAGACCTGGCATTTTCATTATACCAAAACAAGAGATCTGCAAACATTTACACATTAACATGGCTCTTATCTTTATGAGGAATTTTTTCCCTGGTAAATTTCTCTCACTAGCATGCTGCTTCCTCAGACCAATTTTAACAACAAGTTACTATTTGCTTATGTTCAGAATTTCAGAGTCCTAAAATCTGATCATATCCCATTCACAAAAGCTGATCTTTACAGCATTAAGATTTGCTGCCTTTTATCTAATAACACACCTAACAGACTTACTGATCCTAGAACACTCATTAATATAGTTTCAGACTACATTCAGTTAAGCTTTTAACATCACTAAAGCTTCAGCTGTGCACAGCCTTAGTGCGCACACTAGAGAATTACCTTATCAGAGGCAGCACTTTGCACTGTGGGAGAGGTGGAGGAAGGTTGCAAGCCTGTGGAGGAAACGCTTTATATGGCAGCCTTCATTTCACTGTCAACTGAAGTTCAGTTGCAAATTTACATACCTGACCTGCTTCCTTTTTTTCTGCTTTCTCCTCAAGTCAAAATCTGTGTTTCTGAAGCAGTCACCATTAAAAGGGGAAAGTTACAGCCGTTGCTGGTAGTTGAGGAAGTTAGTACAAAGGCTGAGTTAGCTGCCCACTTCCCTCTTGCCTGCCAAAATTTTCTTTATTGCTGTCTACAAACCGTCTACAAACCGTATGGTATGACTAAACAAAACCAAGGTAATTTCAGCTAGATTTCTAGCAAACACAAAATTCCATGAGAAACCTAGGTCTTCAAAACAAAAACCACCCAAAATCTCCAAAACAAAGAAAAAAAGCCCCACCAAACAAAACACTTTTACAATAGTATACCACAGCTTGGAGGGAGACCAGAGCTGGTGTGGAGATTTTGTGCAGACAGGCTGGACTGGAGCAGCTGGTCCTACAAATGAGGGTGGTTGTGAGGGTGCACAGCCAGCAGGGCAGCGCTGCTCCAGCAGCCAGGACACCAGCCTCTGGCCATCGGCACGGCACAGCCTCTGCGGCCTCACCGCGCCACTGCTCGGGCACCATGATGTGCTGCTGGGGAAGGAGCAACCCCACTGCCACCTCTGGCACACACACTTTGGGCCAGGAGGAGTGCAACAACAGATCCAACCAGACGGCCACTGGGGAGCTCTCCAGCCAGCGGGGCCATGAAGATGGATTTGCTGGGAAGTCCTAAGATTTTATGAAGGCATATCCAGAATGCTTCAAAGCACACACATCCTGTAGTTACTACAATTACCATGGTTCCATTCAGATTCAGTTATGCAGAACATTCATTCAGAGGAAGAAGTGATTTTCAAACCAGTAAGCAGCTTGTATAAACACAAACATGCATAAACACAAAGACAGCCTGCGCGTCATCTGCAAAGATCTGCCAGACACAGAAGTCATTTACTCAGCTTTCCATAACACAAAGCAGCACAATCTTGAAAGTAGATATGCCTGTAAATGAATCAAAGAACTCGTATTTGTTCTCTTAGGTAGTGTTGAGTCTCAGGTCTTAGTGAAAATGAGAACTGGTCATAACCCACGTAGTTGGCTTATCATAAGCCTTTATGGGACTCTTAAATATGATTCTAAAATCATATGCATATGCATATGGGCACAGTTGTCTGCAACTCCTACAACACTCTGTAGGAGTAGATGCTTTTCCCTCAGAGGTGCTCAAGAAAACAGTAAAAAAGGGAAAATACACTCCCTTTTTACAGCAAAAAAAAACCCAAATGCATTTATAGTCCTTTGTCAACTTGGAAGATGGCTTTAGACAAAACTCCACAAGTGACCAGTACTGCTACATCCACCACTACATGGAAGTTAAATACTGAGAGTAGCTAAAAGTGGACAACTGTTTTTTCAGAGCTAAAAAATACAAAAATAAATTCAAACCTCCAGGTTACATGGAGATGTTATATTCAATTGTTAGGAATCTTACACTCTAAAATATTTCTGTTTCAAAAAATGAGTAACACTCACATGTTAGCCATGTAGATTGTACTACTACTCTGTGTAGATTGTAAATTGAAAAGGCAGTCAGTTTTACTAGCCTTTCTAGTACTCTCTTCTACTACTGTATCACGTAAACCTTCTGCAGAACAGTTCAAAGCTTTATTACTATTTCCAATCCTGTCTGTCCTTAGAGGCCCCTCAGACAGAGCTAACAGTAAGATATTTCAACTAAGGAGAGTAAAGATGTTATGGCAGTGACCAGTTCAGTGACCAGTTCCTACCTCAAGAAGCCTGTGACTCTTAGTAAGGACAAAAAGATCGGTTTTACCTTAAGGTTACTAACACTGAAAGTAGGAATCACAAAACAAAAAATAATGAAATCTTTAAACTAATGTTGGCCAATTTAACATGCAGTAGAATGCCCGCTGTTCCTCAAGGTAATTTGCACACGTTGGCTATTTCAAGGTAAAACACCTACTTTTTTCACATTATGCTAAACTGTGACCTATAATCCCCTGGAAGAGAGCAGTTGCTGCACTCCTCATGCCCACATAAAAATTTTTGCTCATTGCTGCCTTGTGACAATGCTGTATTTCATAACTGGACACACTAGCAGGAAAAGTTATCTATAAAACCAGAAGGAAGGCGGAAGTAAGAAGCTGTCAAATTTTTGAGTACTTGAATCCCTCTTCAAGCACAACACAGAAAATATTCTGAGATTTTCTTCAGCCCTATGGAGAAGCCAGCGTTTTAAAGCATACCTACAGTTCATCAGTGAGCTAAAGAATCATCAGTGAACTTCCTGAGATACTCTACCACAGTTTTCCAAGAGGAGGTTTCTGTTCGTTTTATTAAGTTCCTCTAACAGCACCAAAATTATCCTATGTATAATAATGCTGCACATTGCAAAAAGTGGTGTCTCTGGAGCTATGAAGTAAACCTAACACTGAAAGTTACTCTACTTGTACTACTGGGTAGGATACATTTCTGTGGCACTACATTTTTTTGCCTTTTCTAAGACAGAATTCTATGTTGATAGGTGTTATCCAGTTTCAGGAGCTTATGAACTAGTGTAAAGGGAGAACTTTTGAATTATGTTAAAATCCAAAGCAAAACTGAGAAGGATTATTAAAAAAACCAAAATTAACTCTTTTAATAAGACTAGAAGTGGGTTTTCTAATGTGGAAAAAAATTGGAGAGCAGGATTTTGCTCAGTAAACATAGTATTTTCAGCAAATAGACTGCAAGTCTTTAGCTTGTATGTTTGCTTTGCATTTGGTTTATGCTAGGAAAAAGGCAGACTTGGCAAAGGTATTCATCAGGTTTTTTTAGCAACTTTTGGCTCTTCTCGCCTCAGGAAGTGAGTATTACCCCAGATAATTCAGATTTTTTAGGAAAGGCATGCTGGTAACTGGTATACACTATAGGCAAAACAGTTAATCACTGAGGAGAGAAAACGTTTTCTTGTGTATACACCTACTTTCAAAATCCAGGTGATCTCCAACACCTACTTTCAAAATCTAAGTGATCTCCAACTAGAGCTACAAATACTGCACTATTTTTCAAAGATTTTCAAGTTGAAAGACAGAAAAGCTAGATTTGTCCCCTCTTCTCTCACTACCATTTCTGACTCTCATTCTTGCCAACTCTGTGGTCAAATACCTCATATTCCATTAAAAATTAAATTTAAAATAGCAGACTCCAAAATGGCAATTCCCTCCTGCTGCCACTCCTCCTCTTTCCCACAAAGAAGTCCACTTTCAGTAACGCTGAAAGAAGGCAAAGTGCCAGAGCACAACTGAGTCTCCTGTCAGCCTTCTTTCTCAGTCCTCTCACCCAACCTGGGCCACAAAAAAACTATTTACAACCTTCTAAACAGCCTTTTTTTTAAAATTCTGACCAAAAAGAACTTTTTTCAGGGTTTTCCCAGTTACACTGGGTTAAAGAGAGAGAAAGCACCACAACCTACGACTGCAACACCTCAGGAGCATCATGAACCCTAATCCTTGTCATGGCCAGCAGATTTCCCACCAAGGCAACACCCTGCCCGGAGGGCAACAGCCTGCCCGGGGCTCTCCGCATGGACTGCCGCGGGAAAGGGGGAACGGAGGGTCGGAAGGCAGACAGAAAGCGGGGAAACAAAAAACCACTGAGAAAACAGAAGGTGTGACAGGGAAAAAGCAGGGAAAGAAGGCGAAAATAGTAATGAGAAGAACAGGGGAAAGAAAGAAGAAAAAAGACATAAGTGGAACAAAAAAGGAGAGGAGAGATGGAAAGTGGCGGGGGGGTGGTGTTGGGGAGAGAGGAGGGGAAGGAGTGGGACAGAGGGGAAAAGCGTAAGGAAAGAAAAAATAAGTGGGGAAAAAGAAGGAAAGAAGGGGAAAAAGGACACAGGCACAACAGATGCGTCTCCCTGCCCTCCAGTGCAGCACCTGCCCAACGACACGGCGGCTCCTGGAGTAATACTGCGAGGCTCCGGAGGGTACGGCGCCCAGGAAGAGCGATGCTCCACACCAGCCCGCGCTGCCACCCGCTTCGGGACCGCTCCCGGTACGCCCACAGCACCAGGTGCGGGGCAGCCCAGGGGCAGGCACGGAGCCCGGCCACCTCCCCGGCGGGCGCGGCCCCGAGCCGGACTCCGGCTCCTGCCCAGGGCTGCGGGTCCCCGCCCGGCCCGCGCCCCTCCCGGCTCCCACCCCCGGGCC